AAATATAGAATTTATAGAAGCTTTACTAACGTCACTTCCTCAACAGCAACGAAAAAAAAACCGATTCCTTTTCATTGGCCTCAAAGGCCAGCGCGTCATGTATACATCACCTCACAATGGATGATGGAACGTTCGAAATTAAAACGACTTCCTCTTGTATCTACAATTGAGTAGCCATCATTTAATATACAAATTGCTCGAGTATTGGTTTTTAAAAGTCAGCTTTCCTGGGTTTAAGGGTACAGTATAACTCTGGGAACAATGGATAGTCAACTAATTTTAAAATAATTGGGTTACGAGAATAGACGGGATAATAATAGCCTATTCGCGAGCAAGTTTAATCTATATTTGGATCTAGTTCTTAAAAATACTTTTAATTTGGGCTGGCTTTAGGTTGGTTGATGTGATTAGGTGAAGGATCAGATGAGAAGAATTGAGAATCGATTAATAATTTCGGGGTTATTCTGTTTAATTATTAGATGTTAACGAACTTATTAAGAAAATGTCTAAATTTATCATTTTTTTAACGGCATTTGTATGAATGTATTGCACAAATCCTTAAAAACGCCAAAAGAAACAAGTTAACTAACTTTCCTGTTACAACAACTTCTAATAATAAGACGTAAGGAAGTAGGGAATGTACTTATACTTTGCTTAAATATTTTCACATTCGCCAACTGAATGTAATTTTACAGTTTTAATATTTTATTAATCTGATGTAAATCACAATTTTCTTTGCATTGAATTGATTCAATTAGCCATGAAATAGGAACAAAGTATAAGAACAATGCTGCTAGTGTTTGAAAATTTAAAACAATCCGTAAACTGTTTATACCTTTAAAAAATCACATGTATTTTGAATAGTTTCAAGAATCAATAATCAGGACTGGGTAATTTTTGCCAAGTGAAAACAATTATTTAAAGGAGAGCTTTAAAAGAAACACCACATAAATAAATCAAAATATTTTATGTACCTACATCTAACATGTATCAAAAAAATTCACATAATGTAAATGTGAAACAGGTTAGTTAAATATGAATATAAATTGTTTCCAATAGAGATTTAAGGGGATTTTTGGCTTCCGATTATCGTTTTCTATTTGCATCAAACAAATTCGCCTAAAAATAACCGAAGCGATATTATGAAAACAAGGAATTGCATGTTGGTAAACTTGCAAATTGCAAGCCGGCCGTAAATTTTATTTTTGGATTTCCACTTCTCGTAAATGAACGGAATTAAGTACGTGTTATCGTATTAATAGAGACGATCCGTCATGATTAGAGCCAGATGCTAGAGTTAGTCAGTTTATGAAAGACAACTAGAACAGCGCATGATAAAAAAAATATAAGCCGAGGAAGAGAAAAGTTTTACTTCTCTCCCCTTAGTAAAAAACTACAACTAAAGGCTTTATCTTAAATGCTTAATATATTTTTTTTATTAAAGTAGGTATTGCTTTCATTTTTTTAAATTAGTACATTGGTTTAAATTTGTCTCATTACCTGACTATTAAAAACAAATTTTGCAAATTGATCCAAGCGCAATTTAACATGAAAGTTTTTCCATTCTAAACGAATTAGATAAAATCGATGCCCAGTTACTCATTTACTCATTGATGATAGAGATGCGGGTATTTATCTGCACTATAATTACACTGATCGGGTAACACTTTTAACGGTACATAAGCTTTCTATTTTTCTATTATAAACAACATAGTTTTATTTTACATTTTTCGAGTCGTTTATTTTGTTATGTTCAGTAGTGAAAATTCTAGAATAATTCAAGAAATAAACAAACAACTTTATAGATTTTTTCGCATAATTTAAGACTTTTGCGCTTATGTAATTTGTGTAGTTACACAAATACAGTACATAGTAAAATATGTGGAGGACACTGCTCTTAAGACGCACGATAAAACTACCGGATTATCTGTAGAAAGACTTCAGAAATCTTCAAATATATGCAGACACTAGACAACATAAAGACATTGTTTTATACAATTAAAGTACAATGATGAACCACTAAATATACTTGATCGGATAGTATTACTAATTTACTCACAAAAAGTAAAGAAAAATAGTTCAGGATGATGTTCAGCAAAATGTTCAGGATACTGTGAAAATAATTATTTTTCGTGAATCCCTTGTAATGAAAAGCTCGAACTCACCTGTGGAAATCTGTGACTTATACGACTCCCCACGCGATTTCCAAGTTAAAAGTTTTCCTCGTAACTCGCAGTTGAAAGTGAGCTTTGGTCGCAAGCGTTTGTGCTACGTGGCGATCCTGTATTTAAGTCATAAGGTCAAAAAAAAACAATATTTTCAACATTTAATTGTTATGAATGATGAATAAAATTAGGTGAAGGCAAATTGTTGTGCTGCGAATTTTCCTTGCTTAACTTTCAAGCACAATGTTTCCAATTAGCATTTGCAATTTCACTTTGATGATGATTTGAACATTTCATCGAATTTCCGCTTTGAGATTGTAAGTATTTTTAAATTTATTGTTGTGTTTGGAAGAAAATGTTTCTTCCAATGAGTTAGAAGATTGAAATCAATCGGCTTGTCTGAAACATCTATAATGAATTATTATGGAACGCGGGCGCGAAGGGTGAAATAGTCACGCATATTTTTATACGAGGAGCGCTTTACGTTGATCCTTGTCAGTCCAGGGAAATTATTCAGTAGTGAATTAAAATGAAAAATTTACTGGCCATTAATGTCTTTCATGAGCCAAAGTGCAAGAACGTAAATGTACATTAAGATTAACGGAAAATGTGCAATTGTTTATGAGTATGCCAACACTTAAAGCGAAGATAAACAACAAATTATTCACTTTTAATTTATATGTTTTTTGTTTCATTATGATTTTTATTGAATATTTTTTTTCTTTGCCTCTGGGATTATACGCGTGTATGTTTTAATTTCCGCTTTCTACTGCATGTTATTTTATGTAATTTGCAGCTTTCTGATCGATATTTGACTATTTGTCGTACATGCACCCTGCATGAAAGGTTTATAGATTATGTGAATTGGGTAAAATTGTCTTTATTTGCTATCGCGAATACATTTTAAAATTAAATGCTTGGACTTTTTCAATAAGTTGCCACTTTAATAACTGACGCACGAACAGAGAAACAAGCATAAAACAATGAAATTTTACATTTTTAATTAATACCTAAGCTAATACAATTTTTTGTGTTTTTATATTTAATATGCTTTTATTCAGGTCTGGAAGTTTTTGTGATTTTCTATTGTAATGGAGCTTGATATGAAGAAGCATATTTATAATTTCAAGTTTCGAATTCATGATTTACTACATTATCTGGCTGCAAAAATAATTTCCAATTTAGGAGAGTCGACCTTCAACAAATAGTTAAGACGAGTTTCTAAGTTTAAGAATTGAATAAATTATATTGATATATAATTGAATAAATAAAAATAAATTAACCACAGTTAATTATCCGAGGGATTTAGTATGTCTATTAAAAACCCATTTTTAAATATCAGCTGAAAATTGTAAATAAAACCAAACAATTCTGGTAAAATAAAAATTTCCATATTAACCGTTCAAAGTGTATAAAAATGGCAGTAATTTTTTTAATAAAACGCAGCACATTTTAAGGCGCTTGGCTGCACGTATAAATGTACTTTTTAACTGAGTTCATCAACCCTTAAAATATTTCATTCGATACACACGAAAGTTGACGGTGAAAGGCCAATAATGACCATATAAGGGTCCGTCTGAGCTGACCACTGGGTAGTTTATGATTTGAGCGGAAATCACGCAAACTTTAGACTTCTTAAATTATAGAAGCCACAGAGTATTGCATAATAAATTTAACTGCTTTGAGACAGTAATGAATAATGGAACGATCACAGGAAACAAAACTTAGATTTATTTGCAAAAATAGAATAGAAAATTGTATATTTTGCCTACTAAAATGCACTGGTTTTTTGAATAATTGATACTATTTTTCTATTAATGCGATTGAATGTTTCGTAATACACAATTTTATTTTGCAATGGCGTGTCATCTGCTCTTTATGTCTGCAATTGGCTAAAATCAATAGGAAAAAACTTTGCTTCCATCTATAAATATCTGCGTGCATCGAGGTTGGATAAATAGTTAATTCTCTTAAGAAATTGAATGTTTGCAGTTAAATTAGAATAACTTCCTTTGAAAAAATTGCTGTGAAATTTTATGAAGATATTTTTTAAATAATAATCACTTTAGATTGCTGTGTTTACATGTGAGCATTTCTAGCATTGTTGACATAGTTTCTGAGCTGACAATGAAACTATGTTTCCATAACCCAAATACTTTGCGTGCCGTCATAATTAAGGTGAAGGTGCTCAGTCATAATTAACATTAATTTCTTTTACTTCGTTAGCTATTTGTCAACAGAACAAAACGCTCCTTTGACAACGAAGGTGTATTCTACAATGGATTGTTAGCGAGTTCTTTCTATTATTGTGCGGTCGAACTTAACGAGGAAATAAAATTAGCCTGTAGTCAATATTTTTACATTAATTCTTTTGTGTGGCACCTTTTTAGGAATATTTAAGCCATAACTTAATTGTACACGATCCACTCTTTACATTACTGGGCTTCCACAAAAACTGATACAAAAGAGTTGTCAAATGACCTGATGCCTTTCAATACATTTTGCATTTACAAAAACTAAATACGTTTTAAATTGCCAACGAACTAGTAGATTTGTGAGTTAAATCACGCAAACAACCTCATTTTATTTCAAATGGCCCTATTGATCCTTTCCAAGGATACATTTCCCCAACAAAGGTCAACTCGCTAAAATACTTCTTTGTTTCAAAATCCACTAACTGATTTTGCCCTATACTTATACTGAAATTGGCATACATTAAAAAAAAATTCTTTTATATTATCGCATTTGCTGTTATAGACTAATTAACATTTTTTTAATTTTTATTAGAGTTATTTTTCATTACTTATTCTGTATTGATACAATAGTACTTTGTAGACTGGTGAGCATGATATTGATACAAAAGTGCTGATATAGCATGGAAAAATACGAACAAATATCTGTAGTCGGTGAAGGATCGTATGGTTTGGTGATGAAGTGCAGACACAAGGACACAAACCAAATAGTGGCTGTGAAAAAATTTCTTGAAACCGAAGAAGATCCGACTATCAGAAAATTGGCTCTACGAGAGATACGAATGTTAAAAGTATGATTCAATACGTTGCGAATTAAATAAATTTCATTTAATTCACCTCTAATTGAACCCGCATTTTACATGCAAAATTAATTTCTTATTTGTGAATAAGTGTGTGTATAAGTGTGAAGTTTTTTCAAATGCGATTCAATTGTAGAGACTGAAACATGAAAACCTGGTAACTATGATTGAAGTATTCCGGCATAGAAAACGGTTCTACATAGTGTTCGAATTTATGGAAGGAACTGTATTAGACGAACTAGAAAAAATGCCCGGCGGATTAGGAGAAGAACGCACCAGGGAAAGAATCTTCCAAGTATGTAGAGCTGTTAGCTATTGCCATAACAATCATGTAAGTCATTGAAAAAAAATCACTTTATATCCAAAGAATCAGAGAAAAAGCTGGAAAAACATTGCAGATAATTCATAGAGATGTTAAACCCGAAAATGTCCTGGTGTCTTCTTGGGGTGTAGTCAAATTATGTGATTTTGGGTTTGCCAGAATAGTAAGTCTTAATGGTGAAGCGTGTACGGAATACGTGGCGACAAGGTAAAAAATTAGTAAACATCTTAACTTTTGTGATGAAAATCGGCTAGCAAATGATTGATTGCAGATGGTATCGAGCTCCTGAGCTATTAGTAGCAGAGCCAATCTATGGAGCGTCGGTCGATATCTGGGCAATAGGTTGTCTATTTGCGGAAATGATCACTGGAGATCCACTATTTCCAGGGGAGAGCGATATTGATCAGTTGTACTTGATTGTGAGAATGTTAGGTAAATTGTGGATTTTGATATTTAGTCAAGTAAACTAGTTTAAAGTTCATTAGAAAGTCATTTAAATATAAAACTTGAGAACTCTTTGTTCTTGTGCAATCTGATAAAATCTTACAACAAATTTTAGGAAAACCTTGTATAAGACATCAACATTTAATGACTCGAAATAGCCAGCTCCGACCTATAATCAGAACCCCGTCCCAAGAATCTATGGGATATTACAAAGTATTTCAATCATGGCCTTTGATCGCGATAGATTTTTTAAATGGCTGTACGAAAATGGATCCGCAGGACAGACTTACAGCTGATGAACTGTTGAAACATACTTACTTTACTCATGACAAGTTTCCTCAAAGGTATTGAATTAACACACATCAGTATTATAGTTTAGCGTCTTGACCTGGAATATTTTGTGGTTTAAAGATTTCTTCCTGCACTGCGGGAAAAGGTGAATATCGAATTTAATGCGCCTTTGCTAAGGAAATTAAAATCGGAAATTCTAACTTCAACTGATAGAAGTAACGACTGGAGACCACGCAGATTGTCCAATGAAGTCAAATGGAGATTCAATATGACTGAAGGTCAGTTTTTCACAACAAAAACTAAATACACTTAATTGTTTGTTACATTTTAGGCTCCGTAAAGCGAAAGCACTGTAACGACTCAGTTATTATTGAATCCTCCATTGACAAGAATCTGATAACTCTCTCGAAAACTAGTCAACGTTTGAACGTTATTAATAATGGAAGCAATGGAAAGAACAACTGCCAGGTCAGTGCCAATCTGGGTTAATTATACAGTCGATGAATGAAGGAGTTTTTTTTTCCAGATATTGCCGAAACAATCGTTTATTCAACCCAAAGTTTCACAGAATTTGCAGTCCAAGCAACAGTTCAAACTCCCAGTTTCCACCGATATGCAAATGCTGGAGAAATCATTGGATAATTTGGGCAAAATGAATAAATTTGAAAATGATAACCGACCGCTATCCGACCGGAAGGAGGTAGATCCTTATTTTTTTTAGTAGCCAACATAGTTTTCCTTAATAATATTCCTTTCAGTCAACACCGTTGTTGCCGGAATCGCCAACATTTAACACTTTTCACTTTGGGATCGGAGATCACAGTAAATCGCCCAATTATCACAGTGTTCTTCATCCCAGTATAAACAATATATGTTTCGGCAGAGACCCAAATAAAAAATCACCGAACGCATCCCAAAACTTGAATAATGGAAGCCTAAAAAATAATCCAGTAAGTATATTTACCAGTCCAGAACAAGTCAGACGTACTTGCATATGAAAATGGGAATTAAAAAATGAGTTTATTACATTGAATGGAATTCTATTTAAGGTTTCACATCCTCCAAACTCAAGAACCCATTTTCTCAAAAAACTCGACCGATATGTGGTTATGGAGAACATTTTCGCCCAAGGTGATCACTCAAATGTGGGTGCGAACAGTACCACTCCCCATTGGTTAAACAGCTTCAATACGACAAACGGTTCCAATTCGAGGAAAAGGGACTTTGCAAGTAAAATTAAGAACGACGATTTCTCGTTGCCAAATTTACCTGGGGGTAAGTAATAGCATGACAAAGTTACAGAAATGTTCAAAAATAGTGTTGAGAACAAAATTTGTGACAAACATTTTCATCCAGCTGCCATTTCGCCCGGTAAAACTAAAAAGAAGAACAGCATTCCAGAGTTGGAACTTCCGGACTCCACTGAAGTGTCTCCGGTGAGTTCTTCAATCTGAACGTAAAGCATGAAAGTAATTTTTTGAGCAAATTTTATGGTTTTTCTATAACCCAGTGGAGCTTCACAAGTATTTGACTACCTACACGTTTCAACTTCCTAGAAATAATTTTTATTTTTCCTCATTTTTATTTTTATTTTATTTCTTGCACACTTTGATTCATTGAAAATAGTCTGGCAACGAAAAATTTTTACCTACATACTTTAAGTATTGATAATTGAAACATTTCAACCGACTAAACTGCTGGAAATAAAACATGAATTTATTTAATTTCAGAGATTACCTTCAGCAACATCACAAACATCGCCTTCCATTAAAAACCCCAACATCACATAACTAGCGTATTAAATTAGAGAATTGTAAATAATTTAGATCGGTCAGCACGGTAGTGGAATGAATGTTCTGGTAAAATATTGGCGTTTCAGTTGGGTAAATTTTTTATTTTTTATAGGCCTACCGATACAAGAAAGCTAAAAGAAAACGCAATGTACTGGATATAAGTTTACCAATTCCTGTTCACGAAAAGTCGAGATTGTGTTTTAAAATTTCAAAATGAACGCATTTAATTGACTAGCAAACCTGAAGTTGGACAAGGTTGGTGTTTATAAACACTTTTTAAACAATCTCCACCTATTCTTTTTCTCACATTAAATTGTCTTCAATTGTTCGACTGTATTATACATATTTATTGTTTCAACATCTCATGTAGAAAGTTATCTAAATACATCTTTTCATTTAATGTTCTTGATTATAAATGTAAAAAGCGCCGGGCAAGACGGTATACAAAGTGAATTGCTCAAATACGGTGGGCAAAGTTATTTATCAACACAAAAACCCAGATGAATAGCGAACCACCACTACTGTGCTAATGTTCAACAAATGGGAAAAGGGAAGAGAATACCATCAAATTATAGAGGAATAAACCTTGTAAGAACTGCTCTAAAACTAGCAACTAAAGTAATTATGAACAAAATCAACAGTCTTACAACGTTGGCGGACGAACAAGAGGGATTAAGATCGGGAAGATCTTGCACATACGTCGTGTTCGTATTAAGACAAATAGTCGATAAGTTGATTGAATACAACAAGCCAGCGTTTATAGGTTTTGTTGATCTAACTAGAACATTTGACCGTGTCCAGCTGAAAGACGAGAACATATATACAAACAATAAAATATAAGCACAAATAGAGGGATACCGCACAGAACCAATACCAGCGGGTAGCAGTATTCGTCAGGGAGACTTCCTGAGTCCTACCCTGTTCAATTTAATAATGGAAGAAAGTGTTCGAAGTGTTCGAGGGCTAAAGGGATACAAAATGGGGGATGCAGAAATCAAAATAGTGTGTTATGCTGACGATGCCGCTCTCATTGCAGGAAGTGCAGATGACTTACAAAGGTTATTACACTTATTCAACCTGACACCCAAGTCTCCAAATATGGAAATATCACCGACCAAAACAAAGTGCTGAACAACATCAAAAACCCCTCTAAGATGCAAATTGGATCTTGATGGTAGAGTAATCGAGCAGAAAATGAAATTTAACTACCTTGGCGTGGTAACTCCGGCTTTGGCGATATTCAGGCAGAGGTGAGATATCAAGCAACAAAAGCAATTAGAATAGCTGGCTGTCTGAATGAGGATCTACAAAACCGTTGTAAGGCCGATTGATGACATATACCGCAGAAACTAGGCCAGAAACAGTGAAAATCAAAAGACTAGAGACAGCTGAGATGAAAATACTCCGTAGAATCACCGGAAAGACACTGCTGGATAGAGAGAGAAGCGAGGATGGTGATACCCAATGAATGGGTAGTAAACAGGAAGAAGGAATGGAATCAGCACATAAGCAGGATGGACCACCGCAGACTTGTGAGAATCGCTCGCGACAATTCTCCATTGGGAGGAAGAGATGTTGGGCGGCCCGGGAAACGATGAAGCGATAGCCTCAAGCAAGTGAACGATAATTGAACAGGCGATTCGTCTAAAATCAAGGATGAAGAAGAAGAAGAAGAATATTCTTCTTCTTCTTCTTCCTCGTACGTTAGGACTCAGAGTCCTGTGTTTTTCTTCAACTTCCTAGTCCTGGGATGCTGATGTCCAGCGTTCGTACCATCGCTTCGGTGGTCTTCCTGGGAGTCTTGAGCTGTTAGGTTTTTGGTCTTTGGCGATTTTTGCCATTCGGTCGACGACCATTCTCTCTACATGGTCTCTCCACGATCTTCTCCTTGCTCTGGTCCATCTTACAACATCCGAAACCTTACAGGTATCTCTAATTTCCTCACTCCTTTTCATATCGTATAGTGTGTGTTATGGATCTTAGGACTCGCATTTCTGTTGTTCTTAGCAAGCGTTTGGTTGTTGTGTTTTCCGCTCTTGTTTCTGCGGCGTATGTCATCACTGGTATCACGCACGTTTTGTAGATTCTGACTTTACTCCCTATACTCATGTGCTTGTTTCTCCAGATGATGTCTCGTAAGTACCCCGATATTAGAGCGGCTTTTGATGTTTGATTCCTTACTTCCTCCTTTAGATTCCTGTTACTCGTGATGTTTGCTCCAAGATATTTAAAGGTCATCACCTGTTCTACACTTTGGTTGTAAACGGCGAGTTTACATTTTCGGGGCTCTTTGGATATAGTAAGTGATTGTGTTTTCCTGGTAAATATTTCCATTTCATATTTATTTGTAGTTTGTTCGAACTTATGTCAGAGTCTTTGTAGGTTGTCTTCATCATCGGAGACTATCACTGCATCATCAGCGTAGCACATTATTTTTATTTCTGCATTTCCCATTCGATATCCCCTTCCAATCTGTTTTGTTTTTGTAATGATTTCATCCATGATGATGTTAAACAATATAGGGCTTAGGCTGTCTCCTTGTCTAATTCCTGTGTTGACGGGTATTCTCCTTGTTCTATTTTCTGCTTTTACGAGTGTGGGATTGCCGGTGTTTAGCTCTCTGATGATGGACACAATATTCTGATGGATTTTCCTTTCTTCTAGGAGTTTTATGACGTCTGTCAGTCTTACTTTATCAAATGCTTGGGTAAGATCTATGAAACACATAAACGCCGGTTTGTTGAATGTTGAATTCAATAGCTTTTTCGGCTATTTGGCGGAGTATGAATATGGCATCTATAGTGGATCTATTGTGTCTGAAACCTTGCTGCTCCTCACCTATTCCCGTGCTGGTCACTTCTTCTGCCAATATTTTTGTCAACAGCTGCGAAACTGTGCTGAGAAGGGTGATTCCTCTATAGTTTTTGGGGTCTGTTTTCTCTCCTTTTTTGAAGATTCGGATTGTTATGCTGTCCTTCCATTCTGAAGGTACCTTGTGTAGATATAATATTTTATTGTAAAAATCTTTTAATTCATCCATGAGTACATCCCCTCCATACTTGATCATTTCGTTCGTTATCTCGTCTATAACAGGTGATTTCCTGTTTTTTAGAGTTCTCACTGAGAGTTTTTTCTGTTTCTCTATCGGTATCTGCCAAGTTGGTGGTGTTTCTTCATTTTTGGGTCTCCTTGGTCTCCGTGTTTTCCTCTTTATTACGGTAGAGTTGTTCAAAGTGATTTTCCCAGTCTTCAGTAGTGATCTTTGAAATTTGGATATATCCGTTAACTGGTCTTTTTCTATTTCTTAGCATATTCCAGATTCTTTTCTGTCCTCCATATAGGTCGTGTTCCATATCGCCGAAATATAATTGAAATCCCCATTAGACTGATTCTCAGGAATTGTAAGATTTTGAGGCCACAAAAAACTTAAATTATTATGAAGAAGCCCATAATAATAATTTAAATAAGACCTTCAGTCATAAAATCGAATCTAAGTCGCATGACTTAGACTTTCCCAAAATATAATTTATCTTAAATAATTCAAAACATTTTATACCTTTCATTAATAGACTAGCTACTTAAGAAAGGTAAAAAATGACAATATTGTCACAAGAAGCTATTTTTTGCGTAAATAATAAAAACGTTTCGGGGTTTTCTTTTTTTCAAAACGCCAAATTTTGCCGCGACTGAAGTTCGGCTCGTTAGGTCTGAACGCGGCATTATATGCAAAATTATTTATTTGCCTCGCCATTTCGTTATCAATTTATGTCTAAATGTTACATCTGATTTAGATTTGAAATTTTTTGTACATTTCTGTGGATGATTGAAATGTAAACTAACGAAGCCTTTTTCTTTTCTCTTTTTTTGAAATGTGAGGATAGTAAACTAAACGTTTTAGTTGAGTATTATTCCAGCAACAGCTTCGTTCGATGTCCGCTGCAAAAGTTCTGTAAATGTTTATTAGAGGAATTTTTAACAGAAAACACCTTCGGTATCGCTGACAAACACATATTCATTTCGGCTATATTCGGAACAAAAAAAAAGGGTATTAAGGTAAACAACTAACAATCGTGAGCAGTTTAACGTGATTGTCGAGTTGAAACTGCTACCGGTGTATGTGTCAAGTGTTCATATTATATTATTTTAATGTATAATAAAATTAATGTGAAATGGTGCTTTTAACAATTTTCTATTGAGTACGGTGTATTTTTCAACCATTTTTCTCAACGTTTTTAATATTGCGTTGTCGTGATTCATCGTTGTGCGGTTTGTATTTCTGGCTTTGGGTTTTACCGAATAAATTGGTTCTTCCACATCAAAAGAATGTAAAAGGATCACTCATAGCACAGTAGCAGCAGAGCAGTAAGTATTATACAAAATCTGAAATAGTGAAGACGTTTTAATATATTAAGCAATGTTTATTGTAATTGGCAATAGGAGAAAAGTAAACAACAAAGAGCCATTATTAAATTAGATAGGTACAGATTATAGAAGAACGAAATCTGCAAAAGCTCAAATAGCCATAACTTTAAAAACAAATTCTACGGTCGATTTTTATTATTCGCTTATATATTTTTTCGAGGTATTTCGAGATTTATTTATTTTTATTTATTTTATTTATTTATCACCAGAAAATTACATACCCAAGTTCTGTAAATGTGCAGAGGTAAGACATTACCTGTTCGCAGTCCGGTGTGAAAACTTAAATACTAAATACTACTAACTTATCAAACTAAACTTAACTAAAACTAAATATAAATGCTAAGTTGTTAGTAAACCATTAGTTAAGATACCCTATCCATTATAGTATAAATTACACTAAATAAAAGAAACATTTACCCTGATACATTTAATCTGATCCAGCCTTTCAGTCTCCTTTTACTAGATTTATTGACTATTTCTAATTTTTTTAGATCATCACTTAGATTATTAAACACTTTTACCGCTTTGCAACAATTATTCTTTTCACTGACTTCTTAGTGAGACTTAGTAAGCTGGATTAATTTATTACGTGTTCTACTTTTCGAATCTTTAAACAATATCGACAGGCCCTTATAGTGGTGGATAAGGCATTCATAAGAAAAAAATTATCTTAGTATTAAAGGATTTTCCTTCATACGCGTTTTCTTATTAATTATTTTCAGTATTTTACGCTGTCGTTTTTGTAATAACGCTAGGTTATTATGATATGCACCCCCCCAAGCAATATTACTATAGGTTATAACGCTATGAAATAATGCATAGTACAACATTCTCAATGTATCAATTTGCAAGTATTGAGACAATTTACACAATATGTATATTAGATATTTCTTCTTAATTATTGTATATTCTATATGTTTATTCCACATTAAATTATTCCTAAGTATTTGCACGATTCTACCAAGGGCGGATCCAGGGGGGGGGGGTCATGGGGGTCATGACCCCCCCCTTGTGCTGCGTTTTTAACGACTAACGAGAATTTTTCTAATTTCATGGACAACAAAAGACTGAATTTCTACTACTTGACCCCCCCTGACTCGAAAGCTGGATCCGCTCCTGGAATCTACCCTATTCAAACTTTCCCCATTTCGCTGAACACTATTACAATATATTCCAAAAGTTATATACATATACTGATTCCTCAACATTTAGTGACAGCTTATTAAGGGCTAACCAAGTTGCGACCTTGTAGAGGTAGTTATTCATAATGTCCTCAACTTTCTCCCAGGTATCATCGCTTGCCACAATAGCAGTATCATCTGCATAAGACGTTGCATTATCATACATTTCAATTAATAAATCATTAACATATATTATAAAGGGCAGTGGCCCTAAAATTGTCTGTTGTGGAACACCCGTATTAACTATATCTATGTCACTAACAGTATCACCAATCCTAACCTGTTGTTTTCTATTACTTAGATAATTTGCTAAAAGCTTATTCGCATTGCCCCTAATTCCATAATTGTACAATTTGTTTAATACAATTTCATGGTTTACAGTATCAAAAGCCTTAGCAAGGTCCAGAAAAGCAATTGCTACTTGTTTACTTTTGTCTAACTTATCATATCGTTTTCGAGTTTATCCATGAAGTTTAGACCATCTTTGGTACCCTTTTTCCTAACAAAGCCATATTGATTTTTAGCCAGAATGTCACTTCTGGCCAAAAATATTTGAAGTCTGTTATATATTATTTTCTCAAATATCTTAGCTATACCCGAGATGAGATAGGCCTATAATTGGTTATTTCTGATTTTTCCATACTTAAATATTGGTATAATTTCGGCTATTTTGAGCGCGTCAGGCCATATTGATTTTTCAAGACAGAGATTGAAAATGTACTTTAAACTATCAGTGATGTAAGGGGCTATCGTTCTGCTGTTGATTTGATCAATACCACCGTTTTTTAGTTTAATTTTATCTATTATTTCTAATATTTCTAAATTATCAAGTGGTTTAAGGAACATTGTTTTAGTATTCATTGGTGGCAGTTGAGTCTGTTAGCCCATCGGTACAGAAATTTTATTGCTTAAGTTTTTTCCAACATTACAAAAATATGAATTCATGGCGTTAGCAATATCTTTAGGATTATCCCTTACCACACCATCTAATGTAATAATTTGTTTAATGGTATTGTTCCCATTGCCTCTTTTGACTAGTTTGTTATTAATATAATTCAATAAACCATTCGTATTATTTATATTTTCTTCTACCTTTTCTTTCTCATATTTAATTTTCGCTGTTTTAATATTTTTATCTAGTTGTCTACAGTAATTTGTATATTCGATTCTTAAAACATCGTTGAATGCATTCTCTTTTATTCTTTGGTATAATTGGTATTTTCTCTCACAAGATACAATAATTGCTTTTGTTATCCAATTATTTCGTGGCTTACTTTTGTTTAAGTTGGGAGTATATTTCGATTTGTTTATACAATCTTGTATCTCTTTGATCAAGTAATTGATGGTTTCATTGGGGTCATGGCATGATTGTAAATTATTCCAATTTTTCGAATTAGATATTTTAAAAGATTATAATAAAAATCAATTAAGGTTAAGACTTTTTCTCGAGGCGACTTCATATCAGTTCCGTTAAGGGCGAGCTGATACTGGTACCTAAAAATGCAATAATTCAGAATTAAAGCGAGTTTAAAAACCCGCTTTTTGTCTTTTTCTCATATCTTGAACTGCTTGAACTGTAAATATCTAGTTGTCATTTCGGAATAGATCTTTAAAATATGCACTTTCTTACATTAGGCATAATTTTAAAGTTAAAAGTCGAAAAATCCAAAATCCACTTTATTTTGAAAAGCGGTCTTGGTTTTTGCTTCCAATGTTGAGATGAAAAACTCTAGTTGTAACTGCTGATTAGAACCTTAAAATTCGCGTTGTTTATGCCAAAAAATCTTTCTAGTTTAAGAAAATTCAAAATTAAATCGTCTTTTAAAAGTCTTATAGTATTTCGCTCTATTTAAAGTTCCGGTTGAGTTGTAAAACTTTAGTTTCCATTGGGGGATAAAGCTTTAAAATGCGCACTTTTTATTATCTACCAAACACCATGTAAGGACTGTTTCTCATTTTCATGCAAAATGCGAATATTGTAAATTATGCAAACCGATTTTAGTATTTTTTGATATTTTCATGTTCAATTCATATTTTGATAACTCGTCTAGCGGCAAAGCTCTAGCAGCAAAGTCATTACGGAATACAGTATTAAAATGTGCATTTTCTATTCTAAACATAATTTTAGTTTTTCTTTTATTTTTAACGCATAATCAAAATATTAAAAATTTAAATCCGCTCTTGGTTCTACAAAGCATTTTTTAAGATAAACTGCATATTCAAAGTTAAATGTTTGCAACTTAAGTGGAATGGGTCTATATGCGACGAAGACTTCCAAACCAGTTTTATTGTGTGCAAACGATTTTTTTATCATTGACAAAGAATGTTCGTCGACCAAGCTATTAAATTTACTCTCGTCGACCAAGCTATTAATCCGCGATATCGATAACGCTCAGTCTGTTTTAGCCGTGAATTTAAATAATTAATGATGATATTGAGTTTACATTTCTGCAAGTTGTCCTTCGCATAAAAAAACGACTAATTTGCCAAAGTTTCCGTTACTTACATTTGTAGACCGAGAGTTGATTGTGTCGAATATTGCATATTTTAAATTTACTGCTGTTAAACTGATTTTAATTGTCGTCAAAACACAAAAAAGCAAATAGTTCTTATAAAATGACATTTATTGTATTATAAAATATATCTAGTAACAATATAAAATATAAAAAGCGCAGTCATGCAAAAGGCACTAGGAGAAATTACTAACTTTGCTAAGTTTTAGTAAAAATAGAAAATAAAAAATTGCATACAACTAATCGGCCTATGATAAAATCACATTTATAAAACTACATATATTCAAGCGAGTTATTAATTACTTAGTTCGGCAACTCTCATCTATCAATGTTCAGTTAATAATTACCTAAGTTTAATTAAAAAGCAAATTACAAAATTCGGTGGTGTAAATAATTAAACTTTTGGGATACATTGGAATCAAAACACCAGTCGAAACTAAAATAAAATCTAGGATATCGAAATATCGAAAGTTAAAAAAACCCTAAAACTACATCCCTACATACTTAATATAAGCACAAATACAAAAAGTCGTTTGAATAAAATAACTAAAGCCAGATTTCCATAAAAATGCCGAAAAGATCACAGAGGTCCTTAAACAGTTAGGATGATCTTCTAATAAAAGTAACGTGCATTTCGACAAACATTTACAAATTCAGTTCTGCCAAAGTGGCCATGAGGACTATAGATCTATTTTCCTTCTTGCTGTCGAGCAAGAAAGCATGAGCTAACTTAAGTGACTCAACTTTTGGCAACCATTAATTCATAAAATATATGTGAAAGCGGTGTTTTTATGGATGTGAACTATTACTAGTTCAAACCGTTTCGAGCAATTCATCAATTGCTACAGATGATAATCGAGGACATGGATAGATTAGCTTCTCTCCACTGGACAATGGCTGGATGTGATGGTATTTGATGAGATCGCCTAATAAATATAATTTTTTATCAACAACATATTTAATTTTTTTACAAACTGCTTATTGGGTACTTATTTCGCCTCAAAATTTTTTCAGACAGAATTTCCTCACGTATATATATGTATGTAATATATTTAATATTAGTGAAACCTTTTAATTGAAGCAGATATTTTTTTAGAATGGGATTCTGACTTCAATTGTTAATTCACGGAAATTCTACAAAGCCTAAAATTGACGACAAAGTCTAAAGAGGAAAATAAGAGGAATTTAGTTGCTCAAAAACCATAAAATATATTTTTATAAAACGACACTTTTTCACATATTTTTTTTCATTTCATTCGGGTTTGCATAGAAAACTAAAAAATGTGAAAACGTATAAACGATACACTACACATTAATTGCAAATAATTTAAGACTCAAGTGCATCGCTGAATATTTTTAGGCTTGTTGCTTAATTCGCTGGTAATTAAAGTACACAATTAGCCCATTAAAATTTAACAAACCGATGATTTCAAGCGATTAAGTAGATGGGGAAAGTTTTTGAGACACGTTCAAATAGCAGCTTCCGTTATTTGGTTTGTGAGAAATTTCCTGTCTGTAATGGAAAAAATTATGCCATTTGTTCGTATTGTATTGTTTGAACGGATTAATTAGATTATTTAATATAAAATAAAAGTGAATGTTCCTATGATTTTTCCCATTTGAACATCTAAGAAAATACATATTTACAAAAAAAAATAAATAATGAATTACTGTTGAATAGTCGACTGTTTTTACCTGATTTTAACAAATACAAAATATTAAGTAAATCAGCAACGTGTGACCGACGTTCACTTACATTTTTCATCGTACTTGAATAATGCAAGTGCCTATAAATAAAACAGCCGAAATTTTGTGTTTTGGCCACTGTAATGACTATTAGTCAAAGTAAAATAATATAATAACAACTCATGCGCTTAAAGTTAATTAGGAAAGATTAATTAATGGTTTCTGTTAGTTATGCATGTGCATGGTAGTTAAAGGAGTGCTCAGAAATCGACTCAGTTTTTCAAACTTACTATCAGATTAAAGAGAGAAATATAATGAACTATACAAAATTTGCTTTTTACCTAAAGTTTCATACTCCAACTGATTATTTCCGCAAAAATGATATTTCTGGGATGCATTTACTAAGTAATGCTTGCACTTTTCTTCAGCTCGATATGAAATGGCGTAGCCCCATATTTTTTCTGACAGTCTCACTAAAAATGTTCCATATGGCTGGTCAAGAAGAAGCTTTTCAGCCTGAGATCGGGTGATAAGACCTAGAAAAAAAAACGGTTTGTTATATAATGTGCATATTTATGTTAATGATTAAGATAAAAAATAACATTTGCATTTTGCATAAAAGGCAAATAAAGATGTGTTTTATATTGTTATTTAATTGGACGTAACCATTTTTTAAGAATTTCTGAAAAATCCGTTTTCTCTCGAAGCTACAAAGACTTGTTTAAGAGCAGAAGGTACTTTAATGTAAATCATCTTCATCATGCTGGATGTTTATTACTCACCAATTCTCTTCTTTCCTCAAGTTACTACTTCATCTTAGATTTTTTCTATTATGGTCGCTTCTTGATATGTTTACCAAGGGTGTTTGAGCGATCTTTCTAAATTCCTTCAATTTCGATCATCGACTTTAAGTTTTGTTACTGTGCCAACATGAAATATTTTTCGCAAGTTTGAAGGTATTATACATTAAAACATATTGCCAAAAAATGTATGAATTTATCTGAATAATGAACCATTTTTACGATGTGAATTACTATTAAAAACTGAGTGGCCCTAGACATGTTCTATCAAAAATGTCCGTATTAGCTACTCTAATTAGCAGAATTTAATATTCAATTAAACCTATCCGAAACATATCTAACCGGTTCTCATGATCAAAATCCAATCAAACGGTCTCCAGATCATTATTGGGAGTGTAAAAATGAAGGACACGAAAAAAATCCAATTTGAAACCATGAACTAACACGTTGATGGATTTCTTGCTTCCACCTAAGAATGCTTCTAAAACGCACAGTTGATTGCTCGCAATATATCCGGGTATGGGCGCCTGTAGTTTTTACCACAACATTCTTCACACAGACGAAACATTTCCGTTGCTTACTTGCCATTTTACTTTACTTTATTATTGGCAATTAATTTGAAGCCAAATTAAGTAAAAGAAACTTCCAAATTTTATATATAAAAGATGAAAACTTACCATGAAACCATGGCTCAGCATGATTTGCATTTTCAAGTCCCGCCAATTTAGCTCTTTCGGTATTCTTGTACCAATCGACCACTGGCTGTCTGCTAGGAGGCACCCCTATATTAACAGTGCTATAACTGGTATCTATCTCCATATCAGAAGTCAGTCGGTGTTCTGCTCGTGCTCTTCTAGCTATCTCCCGTATCTGCAGCTCTGCTGCTTTTGCCTTACGTTCTAAAAAAAATGATTATTTAGAACATAAAATTTGCAAATTATCTGAAAGTAATTCTCACCTTGTTCTCGCCACACTTGGTCCTTCTTCCTTCCTTCTTCCTCGGCTTCTTTTGCTGCTTGTTCCTGCTTTTTCCGGATGCATTTAAATATTTCCGTCGCCCTTTCATCCATTTTCTTTTCGAACAGTGCCACTCTTTGCGCTACTTGTGCGTTCAACGAAGTCTCGTTTAGAACGTCCCTAGCATCAACAAAGTTAAATTTATTAATTTTGGTTTGATACGAATTCAGTTGATAAGCGGGCTTTTTTGGTATGGGAGGTTTTTGCAACGACTTTGTGTTGATTTTCTCTCTAAGTTCGTCCACCGAACAATAAATGTCCACGTCATCTTGAAAGTCGAGTTGCGAAGGAGCGAGATCTTCGATTTTCGGACTTAGCTCGATGTATTCGGAAAGTTGAACTTCCATTTGCTTTCTCAGTTGTTCAGCTTCTTTTTCTGCGATTTTTCGTGCCTGTTCTCTGGCTTCTTCATTCAGGATATCTTCGATGCTTTTATCGTACTCATGCTCACCCATAACCCACACCCAAGGCTCGCCGTCACTTCCTGGAGAAAATGACGATTACTTGTCGTTTAGAAACAATAAATTTATGCAAATAGCCGGGAATAATTATAGGCCAATACTGGCCATAGATCGGATAAAAAAATGTTTACTTCTTGAAATTGACAAACATTTTGATTTCACTCGGCTTTGCTTCAATTTGGCAAACAATCTCTTTTCATTAATTAACATCGTGGAAAAATTAACTGCAGCAATTGCGAATAAATGGGCAAAATGATTTTACTTAAACTAACTAAATAAATATATTTTTTCGAATTTTATCTAAAGCTATGTCTATAGAAACAGTGTTTATTACTTGTGTACTTGGCACATTGTTCATAGCTGAAGTATGAAATACAAATCGCTTTGCTTAACATTAGTTTATTTTTAGGTCATGATCGCATTATTTTACCATTTATGTGAATTATTTGAAAACATTCTTCATTGCAATAAAATGCTATAAATATAGTCAACTGTACTTACCCTTCATAAAGCTAACGCTTTTCTTTTTAGTTCTTGCTTTAGGTTTAATGGATTCTTCTCCTAATTTTTCATTCCACGATTTCCATCTGCGCACTTGTTCCTCCCTCATCTTGCAAAATAACGTTTGCTTTTGTTGTTCGTCTAATTCAGCCAGAATTTCTGGATCGACGTACATGTCGCGTAGAATTTGCTGCAACATCTTGGTGCCTTAATTCTGGAACAAAAGAAAATGATTGAAATAAATGTATATATTTTAGTACTTGATAGTTCGAAAACCTCATAAATTGTATATATCGAGTAAAAACTTTAATTGAGAGCAAAAATAATTTAATACAACAAAACCTACTTTTGCTTGATAACTGTAAACCACACCGAATACATATGGTCTAAACATTGAGAAATGATAATAAAACCGCGATATGCATTGTCAATTTTTTTTATCAGTTTATCTTTAACACGGCACGTTGTCTAAAATGTATTTCTATTTCTTTCAACTGCCTGGATGGTAATCAGGATTACAATTTATGGATGCTTTATTGCTTTACGCCTTTGCGAGATCTGAATCATCTTGCCACTTCTCTGAAACAGATGATTTGGTGTTTTTCAGCTGTTCATATCCTGAAACATCCATTTCTGCAAATCCGGTTGATTGTTTATTATAGACTTCTATGAGTCCTCAACCATAAACTGGTAAAACCCCAGCAGGAAACTAGATATAAAATAAATACATTCCTTAGCATCCATTAGTATGATTCCAAATCCACGCTTTATTATCAATTATTAGTTGCAGCAATATTTTCAGACTTTTAGCCGATTTGCTGTTGTACTTTCTTGTAGATCATTTCTTAATGTTTTCATTTTTATGACTTCTATCCGAACATCCGTTCTATCATTTATTTTTACCACAGCTCACTTTATTTTTAGTGACTATCTGAACTTGTTGAGAATTTTATCATTTGATCTTTCATTACTTTGACCTCTTCCGAATTTACCTTCAAATCTTGTATTCTCTTTTTATAATTCCAATTACTTTTCTCATATTTGAAATTTTCATCATCACGTTAATTTTCTCTCCTAATGCTGAAAATTAGATGTTCCGATTTAACTAGTTTTAGTTCGTCGAAAACCGCATCCTGTTTACTCTTTAAATTTTTTAACGACGATTTTATTAAATTCTGTAAAACATCCAGGAACTCTTCCCACTTATTAAATTTATATTTTTTACGTAGAGTACATGTTATGGGTTCTCAAAAAATTTAGAGGTTTGGAGTTATTTTTTCTCTTAGTTAAAAACAGTTACATAATTATATACATCGTAAAGCGTCAATAAAATATTAAATTTGATCGTCATCTCTTTAGACAAAAACACTAAATCTTCAAAATGCCAGTACGAACGTTTTATATATGTATATTAAATGGTTCAAAAAATCAAGTGCTTTCACATTTGTGTTCATTATCATCAGCCTCTCTCCGTCCATCTCTGGACATAGGCCTCTCCTATTCATCGCCATTCACTTCTGTAGGTCGTCTGACTCATCCATTGAATTGGGTGCCTACCAATCTTTGAATGCCATCTTTCCACCCCGTTCTTGGTCGTCCTGGGTTCCTTTTAGTTGTTCTGAGTCTCCACTCAGGCGCTTGTCTTCCTAGTCCATCTAATATCATCTGTAATCATCAAATGACCAGCCCATTCCGACTTTTGTATTTGTCTGATCCATTTGTTTGTCTTTCGCTCGTTCATCGAAATTTTCATCTCCATTTTTCTTTGAGCAATCATTAAGCGCTCCATGGTCCCCTCATTAAGGACCTGCACGTTAAGGTCGGCAGGACACATTGGTCAAAAACTTGTGTTTTAAGGTATTGTGGAAATGTGTAATTAAATACATCACTAAATTTTCCATATGCTGTACATCCAAGCTGAATTTTTCTGGAGATCTCCGCTCTTTGGAGGTCCTTATCGAAAGATATTTTTTGTCCGAAGTACACGTACTCATCCACGATTTTAATTTAATTCTTGTTGTGAAGGTCAACGTCTGCGACAATATTGGAATTTATCATCCATACTCTCCGCAAGAAGTACAATATCGGCCGCAAAGCGAAGGTTACTTAAATGCTAACCATTGATGTTAACACCCTTGGCCTCCCATTCAAGTGCATTAAAGATATCATCCAGAGCTGTTGCATATATTATATCTCCCTATCTCACGCCTCTCCATAGATTGATTGGATCAGTTCCGCCAAAGACTTAGACTGTCATGGTTGTGTTGTGGTAGAGAGCGTTGATCAGCTGTATATATCGACTATCGATACGGTATCTCTTTAGAGCATTCAAAAAGCCCATTTTTCGAGTGTATCGAAAGCTTTTTCAAAGTCGATAAAAGCCAGGAAGACCTGTTGATTATATTCCAATGATTTGTCTATTATTTGCCTTAATGTGTGAATATGATCAATCGTACTGTACCCCTCCACGAAAGCCGGCTTGTTCGACTGGCTGGAATTCGTCAAGCTTGCTGGTAACTCTGTTCGTTATTATTCTTCTCAGGAGCTTGTAGGTATGAGACAGCAGTGACACCGGCCAGTAGTTTTTAATATCTTCCTTGTCTCCATCTTTTCAATACTTGAGTATATATCTGTTTTATCTCGAGGTTTGACTGAAATTTTTGTTGAATATAGGTCTTCATAAAATAATTTTAGATACTCAATAACTTTGGTTCTTGTCTTCAGTTTATTTCCATTTTCGTCGTTTAATGATCTTTCCTGGTAATACTTTTTTTCTAAATATTCTTCGCCATTTGCTGTTTTCTATAACTTCTTCTATTACCCTCTTGTTATACTTGGAGACATCGGATCTTACTTGGCTCTTCATAAGTTTGCTTCTTTCCCTTAGTTCATCGTGTCTCATGGATATTTTAGGTTTATTTCTGTCTGCAATAAGTTGTAGTTTTCCAAATAACTGGAAGAGTTTTTTCAACAGCCTTCTTAATACTCTCTAATACGTAATTACTAAGCTGGCTTAGTTCAGAAAAGTATTCGATTTCATGTGTGAGAATATTTTCAAGATTCGTTCTGTACTCATCTTTATTTTGTTGTATGTTTTCTACGTATTTCATTCTTTTTTTCGAGGACACCAGTTTTTGACAGTTTAATGTTTGCTCTCACAAATCTGTGATCGCTGACGTGTATATTATTTAGAACTGTAATATCTTGAATTATATCTGTTCTCTTTGTAATAATAAAATATATCTCGTTCTTTGTTTGGCCGTCCGGGTTTATCCATGTCCACTTACGTCCTGCCTTTTTATATAAAAAAGAGTTCCGTAGTTTCTGTTGATTTTCTTCTAAAAAGTTTTCGAGCATCTGGCTCCTCTCATCCCATGCACTGCCAAACAGGTCTCTGCTTTACGACGATTTCCTACTTTAGCATTAAAGTCACCGCCACAGTCACCGCACGCAATCTAAAAGTGTTTTTATACATTGCCCTTGCCACCTGCTCGTTAATTTCCTCCACTTCTTCTTCTTCTTCTTCTTCTTCTTCTTCTTCGTCTGTATATGCGGTGGTTGGTGCATAAACTTGTATTAATTTTAGTTGGTATCGCTGTGTAATGTTTATTACGATGTATGCTACGCTTGCCGGTATTGCAACCGTAGCCATAATTTGCCTTGCCCATTTTTTATTATTCAAGAATCCGACTTCTTCCGAAGTTTTAGTTTTACTGACATACTAGAAGTCTGAGATTGATTAGGTCTTCACCTGCTCTCTTGATTTCGCTAGGTCCAATTATGTCCCAGTTTGCGTAGCGTAGATCTTCTTCCAATTGCAGGACTGTATTCAGTTCGTAAGGTTCTAGTATTAAGTGTTCCCACATTCAGTGAAACTTTATCTAACAAGTTTCTACGACAAGTGATATTTGTGTTAAAATCTAAAAACTATTAAATGAGGGTACATATTTGAAAAATCTTGCGGAAAAGTCCAATCAATGCAATTTGCAATGCGTTCGAATGCCATGACCATTATGCACGTTATTTTCCATATGGGACACATTTACAATAAAACACCTGGCCTTACAGATCAAAAGATCTGTACTACTTTATCATAATGGCAACACTCCACTTAGTTTACTTTTGAAATTGCATTTGAAATTTACTAATTAACAAAACATGTGAGCGAAGTGCAGTCCTATTTATTGCTAGCACAAGTACCGTTTCGCAGATGATACTTAGGATACAACAGACTGGGAGATCTTCATAGTGTATAGTTGATTTCAACCATATGCGTGATATAAATAGTTTAATGTGTTTCCTGAAAAGATATACTGTTATCAATCAGTGCATCAAACTAGAGTCTTAGAAGAGGCCGTTTTATATGTATACACCATATTTTCAGTTTTACCATACGTAGATTCAATTTGTTAACTTTACCACGTTGTCAACTGCAATTGCAACCCTTTTCTACTACGGTCTGTGTTATTTTCCCTTTGCTTTCATTCAACATTCACCTAACTATACTATCTATCTAAATCAATAATCTTTTTTCCCCAGAATAAAATTGACACTCAAAAACAAGCAAATAATAATTAATTAAATAATATGAGTAATGGAATATTGAAAAGAAGAACTGCATGTTCCCTTACAACTTTATTAGCTTAACTATATTAAGAGCTCATAATTAATCAAGTCATTAAACGGCCAGTCAATCGTTCGCATACTCACACGAAAAATTAAAGTAATGACTATTAAATTGCACGATTAATTGGTTACTACCTCATTGAAGGCATAAAGGTGTGGCTTTACATATGTTTAAGCGCAAATGCTATTTGAGGAATTACTACGATTTGTGGAACTAATTACAGTGATAACTATAACTAATTACTTCTTATTTATCGTTGCTTTTTATTCAAATTCAATTAGGATGACATACGAGTACAAAACTGTCGGATAATAAATTGTGTTATATTTTCATTAGCTGGGGGAGATCCAATGTGCACCTCCAGGTTATTTGTATAGTATTTTTTATACAGTTCTCTAATTATGCTATAGAATAATTTTCCCATTCTCAAGTTGCTTTTAAAACTGTTTCACTGTACAATTATCATAAAACTGTGAGTTATTTTACATTTTAAACCGAAGAAAGTGTTGATTTTAGCCGTAATTAATACCCGCTGAAAGTGCCTAAAAATCTGACTGATGTGTTGAATTAAAACGTCGAATTGATAA